GAACGGAGCTTAAATTGAACAACTACATTTTCGTAATAGTATGGGGAAACGCACCGAGATGTCGAAACGTAATGTCGTAAGTTGATCGGCGATTCTCTGGCATAGGAATTTGGCTAAACTTTTTTTGTTAACTGTTACCTATTTAATAATACTTTTCGCATAAACTCACATAACAACACATTATGTATCTTTTATTAATGTTTGACATGAATAAATTTGTTGATCGTCATTTGTCTTAGAGTTCCGTGTACCAAGGGAAATAATCCAAGATGTCGATCTTTTCCTGAAAAAAACTTGAAATTTTCTATACCTGTGTATTTTACGCACCCCCCACTTTGGGTATTAAAATTTCTGAAAAAAAAGTGTGCAAATTACATGGGTTTTTATGGTAATATAAACACATTTCTTAGATTTTTGTGAAGAACACGATAAATCTGAATATATTTATTACAGGTGGCTAGATAACATAATCTTTGATACATTGCAACCTTCAAATGTTTTTTAATGTCCCATAAGTAATACTGGAGACTCAGAGTGGACTTTTGTTTGCACCCTGTCCTTCCTTATTAGGTCTTTCTGTCCCAGAAGTTTGATGGTGAATTTCTTCTAAACTAGTTCAACTGGTGTCATTTATCTTGATATAATTAACTGTCAAAGAAACCAGACATTTCTGTATTAGGTGGGTATTTTTTTCAATAAGCAGTGAAAAGATTTTGGTTCCATTACAGTTGTTCATTAAAGCTTTTCATCTTTAATTACAGAATTTTTAAGCGAAGTAGACAAAAGATTTGGTCTCATGCCTTTTACATTAAGGTAAGTATCACAAAATGTTTTTTTGCTGGCATTTAATAGGCGAGTGGGGCATATAATGTAAGGGCTGTTCCAGAAAAAAAGACATCCCCCCCTGGGCCGGCACTTTTTCCAGACCCCTACCACCCATAACTTCAATAATCAGCTGACCCCTACCACCCGTAATTACGAATTTTGTTCCATACCAACGACCCACAATTGTTTTTTAGTTTAAAAAAAAGGGAAAAAAAAAGTAGTACCCACATACCATGTTATTTAAATAGTTAATTTATACCCATATACTATTAAATTAAATAATTACCGTTGTTTTACTATCATTTGATATAAATAAACTAAAATTTAGTTTAATATATATATATGTGTTGTATTCTTTTTGTGCTTTTGCTATATATTATATACATAGAGAATGCAAATGGTTCTGTCAAGTGTCAGCAGAGTTGTACTATACATTTAATCTTCCGAGCTCCAACCACGCGAATGGGCAGCCATTTTTGTGAAGAGTGATAACAGCGCCCTCTATCAAGATTGATTTTTTTTATCATAGGAGTTGCGTCCCTTGACCCACATACCGGAAGCGACTTGCAAGCGATACAGTAATGTCACGCTGCCAAAGTTTCAGCACGTATTTCAATAACGCAAATCTACATCCGAGCTTCAACCAGATATTTTCATATCACACCACCATGTAAATTAATTAATCAGGTTTTATTTATTTTTTAAATATTTTTTTTTATTTCTCCAACGTACAACGACCCACAGAAACGAAAATACAACAACAACAACAACCAATAACTACGATTTTATTCAATGTTCAACCACCCACGTTAACAAAAAAAGTTTGCCGTCCCAGGGGGGGATGTCTTTTTTTCTGGAACAGCCCTAACCATGGCTATTGTGTTTGTCCCCAATTCAAGGTCATCTCTAGATCTATAGCTATACCTTGGGAAGTCCCTGTTTTAGGGTTCCAAAATTATGGCCACAATCACTCTACACTATTTATAGAAATCTGTCATTTCATTCCTTAATAGGTTTTGAACTTTGATCAAGCTTTATAATAAAGAAAGGTTAAGTATAAGAATACCTCGGATAAGTTTATAATTCAATTTGCAATGTTGATTCACCATTTTTAGCTTACCTGTTTGTTAAAAAAATGACGTATAAAACAAAGCTTGTCAGTAAAAAAAAAGTTTACAAAACAAAGGCTGTCGGCACAAAAAAGTATTCTATACAAAATTTGGTGGGACATAAAACCAATGGAATAAGAATGTTTGTTTATAATATTTATTTATGATAGTGAATAGTGTCCCACTAGTTAGCTTTAGTTTGTTATCTTGTTGAAGGAGCTAGCTGCAGTCTGTGTCATATTGGCCATATAGAAATGGAAATTTTGTGCAAGAGAAAGAAACAAGTTGTGTCTATTAATACTTGCAGGTTGTCAGAGGATGAGAAGAAAGCCAAGATGGGAGTTGTGGAATGTGTTAAGCATGAACTAATGCAGCCGTTTGCTGTACTTTATGAGAGAGATGGTGAGTTGACTAGAATTCCTATATCATCTAGACTTTCTGGACCTGAATTTTATAGCATGGCTATTAGTCACTATCTGCTCAGTCGGTTAACGTACACCATAGACTATGTTCATTGCCAACGGCATTCATACAACTGTATACGCTGTCAAAATGAAGGTCATTCCTTATTCAAGATAGATCATCAATCTTTGTTACAGGGGTACATCTAGAGAAGATGAAATGTTGAGACCCAAATATAACTTTCATTTTGACCCCTCGCCTCACTTTGGGGGAAAATTGCTTCAGGGTATTTCTTCTACAATATTTTAAGTAGTATCGTCCAACTTTTATGTAACATAATAGGGTTCCAGGCCAGTATGAAATGTGTGTAGGAAGAGCTTTTTTAAGGTGATTTGTTTTTGGAAATAAATGCGTTGAAGCTATGTTTTGATAGGTTGCATGTGTTGATAAAGTACACTGTCAAATTTCTGTAAGAGCTGTTCCTGAATTAACAGTAGGGGAGGGATTGGAGGCACTTTTAAAGACCCCACCATTCATAAATGCTTAAAGTGATGTAATATAAGGAATGGTAGGCATCTGTATTTAACCTCCCCACCAATAATATATGAATTCAAGTACCTCCCATCCTCCACTTCATAAATTATGGAAAAAGACCGAAACATTTTAATTGATTTTGCATGCTATTATGTGTTCTACTGAAAAATTGCCTTCATAAGTTAATAAATTTGCTCTGTATGTTGTAGGTGAATTTGTTGCCCAGTTCAAATACACAATGGTACTGATGCCCAATGGTCCCCTCAAGTTGACGGGTATGCCATTTGACAGTGACCTATACCAGACAGACAAAACCGTGGAGGATGAAGAACTCAAGGTAACTGCTTATATGTATACACCGTTATAAGTCCAGGGCACAAGATGAGCCAGTGAATTTTAAACCTTGCATTGTACAGATCAGCAGTGTAGAACTATTTTGGGGTCACAGAGAAAACCAGGAGAGCTGTTATTTTCACTATATGTATTTCTTTGTGTGGCATTATGTCGTGAGACGAAAACATGACATAGTATTATGGAACTTCAGTGTTGAAAAAGATGTTACTTAATTTTGTTTTGACTTTTGGTTAGAAGTGTGGATGTGTGAACTGTATATGATGTTTTTGTAGGCACTCCTTGCCCAGTCAGCATCACGGAAGGCAGCTAAGAAGAAGAAGAAAAAGGCAGGAAAGTCTATGGCCCAGAATGCTGCCCCCGAGGAAGATTAAGTTATGTTAAAATCATGAAAAGACGTGATTTGTATGTGTTTACTAGAACATGGTGGAACTTTTCTGGACTTTGCATTGGTTAAGTTAGATGCATGTGGCACCATGAACAGTGTGATAATGATAGAGACTTTGATATTGGAATCTGGAATGATGGTCTCTACCTCCAGCAGGAATACCCCTGGCTGCAATGTGCTGTAAGGCAGCTGATCTCAGGCTCTGGTACCGTGGTGGCTCACTGTACAGTCTCCTGTAAGCCTTGCTTCTATGCACAGGAGATTTAGAGAAAAATGCAGCTTGGGTATAAATATGCATTTCAGCAGGTATAAAAGATATTTTGAGGTTATTATAAAATAACTCTTTTGGTTCACTTTTTTTTAATTATTAAAGAATTTCGCTTTTACACTGAACAATCGTGTTTCTAGTTTTTAATACAGCGTAAATATCAGTTTGGCTTAACGATTATATCAGGCGTTGAAAATGATATAGTGACAAATTTAATTATGAATTGAGAGTAAAATGATGTATAAGATTTTGTTGAATATCTTAATACGTGTACATTGATTTAGAACACACACTTGCTGTGTTTTTGCTTCATACTATAATGTACAGGATATCTTTGGTGCAAATCGCATTGGTGTTGGGTGAAGGTTAATTATTGCAGAGCAGAAAAGTCGTTTTAGGCTACATAGTGGCAAAAGATGTTGGTTCAATATTTGCTTGGTGTTTATTTAAAACACTGAATCAGGAAAGGCTGCAATTCTTAATCGGCTTCAAATGATATTTTTTTTTCTATCCTGGCACATAAGTACTATTAAAATCACCTGTTGATTAAAGATGATACCTAGTAAACCTGAAATGACTTTAGTGAACGTTTTGATCTGTATTAAGAAATCTTCATCGACTGCGTGATAATGAATTGTAACATCATTTACTATTGATTGAAACTGTTTCACTGCATAGTCCAATTTTTGTTTAATGATGGACCATATTTATTTTTTATATACATCTATTTCATCTATGGTGGATCAATCCAATTTAGTTCATTTTATTTCTTGCACATACACGTTTTGTCTGTTCAAAATATTCTTTACAAGACCACGGGTTTCTATACATTTGGTGAGCTGAAGATAAAGCGACTTTGTATGTAGTACAATGTTAGTGTTCTAATCCTTAAGTCTTTTGACTGAAATCATGTCTTAAGTCTGTATTGGATTAACCAAATCTTAATGCACAGGTGTGTTCACAGTTAACATTTCATTTCAGTATTTTAACAAATGACAATTAAATGGGGAGAATTTTCTGATCATGTCAATGAAAAGGTACTTTACTGTTCAGCATTTGATGTTATAAACCGACTATTTGATTATAACAAGTTTTTGATATTCACACTCAAAGCTAGATCACTATAGTAGTGTATTAAAAGTGAGGGTTGTTGATTCACCCAGGTGGAAGAGATGAATAAAACAAGTGCTATCATTGATGTCATGTGTTGCTTTTCATTTTTACAGCTATAGTTATTTATAGGCCAAGATCTCTGACAAATCAACATGTTATGCGTTCTTCAAAGATGTTTCTTATACATTTAAGTAAACAAATGTCTTGTTGAACTCGCTGATTACAAAAAAACTTTTTTTTTGAAAACGAGGTGCATTTTACAGATGATATCCAGGGGCCTGTTCGTTTATGTGAAACAACTTGTTTTGTCTGTTTCTAAATGCAACATTTTCAGGTATAAATCCGGACGGACCCGCAAATGTTTATCAAGGCCTTAACAAGGCTCAACTGACAAATCATCTTACTATTAGGTCTGACCTTATTTCATAAACAAACAACTCCTGTCCAACCCATCAGAATAAAAGAAAGCGGCCAGATTGACAGCATTAATTGTAACCCCTCCACTGATCTACTGTCGGAGGGTATTGTTGGGGTTGGTATCGTATTAAATTAAAACATTTCATATCATCACACCACATGTTGATTAAGCGAAAAACCTGTTGAAATTCAAGGTGAAAGGTCAAGGTCACAAATGAAATTTTATTTCTGGTAAACACACGGTCTTCACCATAGGGTCTTAATTCAGTCTTGTAAAATCAATAAATTGGAGCGTTTTCCAAGGTGTCTTTTGATAAAGAGGACATCAGCTGCATTGCAACACTTGGCACCTTGTTCTCTTCAAATTATTATTTCGGCAAGCCTCTTTTAGCGATATATTGCAAGAACGTAAAATCAAACGAACCAAAATAATCCTAAGACTATTAAACGATGTTCAGAGTCCAGGTCAAATCTGATTATCGTATAACTTTTCCCTTGAGGATCTTTGTGACAAGATTTGTATACACCCATTTAAAAACGTTTTGCTTTCACTTCCAGGGCGGGGCGCACATGGTGTCCATTTGATAACCACCATTACCCAACAGTCATTTACAGAGTTATGCCCCTTTATTTATTTGCTGAAACAGGGTCCCCTCTATACCTTTAATTTTCAAGGATTAACTTCATAGGAAGGTGAATTACCATAAGAGCTTGGACAAGTTCGATAACCATCACTTTCAAATTGTGACTTGCTGTGTAATGCCCCTTTATTCAATTACTGAAACCGTGTCTGATCTATGCCTAGAGTAAATTTCAATGGATTTATTTCAAACTTAACAGGAAGGTTTTATTATAACCATAAAGGCTCTGACAAGTTCGATAATCACCATTGTCCAACCAGTTTATGGAGTAATGCCGCTTTTTAAATTGCTGTAACTGTAATATACGGAGTTATGCCCCTTTATTTAAAAAGAAAATGGCACAAACTAGCAATAGTCAACGTTTTAGTTTCGGTCAGGCATGTCTGCACTCCTCGATAGGCACGTGCCGAATATTCCTTAGGTCAGTTTCGGTTCAGATCGGAGGCTGTCGGGGCTTGGATTTCACACCCATGGACGTAGTTGGATTCTATGTTTATATATATGTATATATTTAAATTTGTTGACTTCGTTTGATTTAAACATATTTTATTGCAAATAATTATTTACAAAAGAATTGGACACAAGTTTTCGCAACTTATCACAGTCTTTTTCTTCAAATACATGAATATTAAAAATAACTTGATAAGGTAATTTACGCTATAAATCATCACGAAAAGGTTGAAGCTCTCTTATTAATAGATTGCGATGCTGGGTGTATAGGGGACAGACACAGGGGAAGTGACAGGAGTCTTCACATGGATTACCATGCACATTCAGCTGTATTAGATAAATTTGGTCTAAATAGGTCATAGTTAAGAATTGCGCATAGTTTCAAGCCTAAAGTTTGGTTGTCTTAAATGGAATTTCTTGGGGTTATAACGGGAAATATCCCCAATGCTATCTGGTATGGTGTCGCACAAAAAAATCGAACTGTACCGTTTTTAATTGTAAAGAATAGGGATAATTTTCTGTTTTTCCTTCTATTACTTAGTTGAATCCAGCCAATTTCATTAAATATATGTTCAATCTTTGTGTATATGATTGGTAGTCCTGTAACAATCGTGCAGCGTCTATCTGAATAAAGGGCCTAACACTGAACCTTGGGGAACACTGGCGTTTATATTTCTTACAGAAGAATGTGAATCATGAATAAAGACGGATTGCTTACGCAATAAGATAGTTTGTTATCCAATTAAGAAGACTGCATGAAATACCATGTTGATGAAGTTTGTATATAAGCCCTATATGCCAAACTCGATCGAAGGCCTTTGAAAACTTGCATAAAGTAAAAGCTAACATCATAGAATTGTACATTTCAATGAGTTGATGCGTACAAGAATGACTGGGTAATCCAGACGGAAATTTGTAAATAAGATTATTAGAGTTAGAAAAGTTGTAAATAAGTTTATAGACTGCACGTTCAAAAATGTTTCCAACACAGCTTAATAATGATATTGGTCTATAATTCGAAACATTATGAGCGTCGCCAGACTTAAAGATCGGCATGCCGTTTGCTAATCAAGACGTTGACTGCGTTTGACATCCAATTTCGAAGAAACTATGTTCTGGTTCACAATTATCAAGTGTTTCTCCTGGTAATATTTATGTATTTATCAGTAGCATTGTTATTGAGATACCACTTTTCAACGCAGCATAAGATCAAGACGTCATAATTTCTGCTGTATTCTATGACACAGATAATGATGTTAATATAAGCAGTACACCGATATCAGCACTAGATAAATTACCCAGCTGTGTGCCATAATTAATCAGTTTTTGACTAAAAAAGTAACCAGAAAATCAATTTAAGAAATGTATATAATGATAGAATCCAATGGGAAAAATGACCTAACGTAAAAGAAGCACTTCACTGTATGCGTTACACATTAAGCATACGATCTGTTCCTTTAATTGTTTCTACCTAAGCACGGAATTAGAATAGTAATGATACTATTGAGTAACAGAACTGACCACACATCAATTTTGAAAGATAATAATCAATTGCATATATGTGAACCACAACCTTTAATCTGTATACAAGTGTACACTGTGTTTTAAGCTCAGGACTTATTCGAACTGGATGAAGCTTCTTAAATAATTGTTCTCTTTCTAACACAGCTGAAACATCTAAATCAGTTAAAGAAAAAATGTCTTGAAAAACACAAAAATAAAAAGTTACCAAACAAGAGTTCTTTGGAGTAAAGTCACAAA